AATCATCTTGATTGTGTAAAGATTGAGATGAAGAGATCCTTTATTCGTCCCACAGTGGAGACATTTCAGTGTTGCATCAGCAGTTACAGAACAGCAGAAATGAGTAGCACACAAGACAAATGATCCCTCTGTAGAGTACATCAAATCAAATAAAAATGTCTAACTCTAGCATCAAAAGAAGCAGAATATAATCTCTATCTTTAGCACAATGAATGCAAGAACACTGACTTTCACATGATATCAAAGTATAAAGTCTCTACCTTTGGCATAATAAGAAGCAAGTATAAAGTAGTGTGTATTGTAGTGCCAGTAAGATGGAGTTTGTGTGTATGCATCTGTACATGTTAGCAGCACGAGGGGGGTATGGGACAAAGTGGCAAAGTAGAGCCAGTGTGACACGTGTGGTTCTATATTGCACATTCTGACATTCTTAAAGTCATTATTGCACCGATGCATGACATATGCGAGTTCAGGTCGGCAGTGTTCCCTAGCCCTCATTGTTTGTTGTACAGTCTGACAGCAGCAGGAAGGAAAGTCCTGCGGTGACGTAAAATATAGCTTGACATATGCACCTTAAAGCTGGGGTACCCACCTTTAAAACCACGACAAATGAAACTAACGTCATCCGATTAGTCAGACAGGACTGTGAAAAGAGGAGCACCCTCAGCCGATCAGCTCAGAGCCTCAAATAGTGACTAACAGGGCTCTTTCATAATAAGGTCCATGACCTGAAGCACAATGACAAACCTGCAATACATGGCTCAAAAACAACAAGGACTCTGTAGTTATGCATAAAAGCTGAAACAAATCCTCATTTCCTTCAAATACATTTGGACTTTTCACATCAAATGTGGGAACGCTAGTTTGCCCAGTTGTAAGTAAACCTCTGGTTTGATTGCCCCCTGCTGGGGAGATGTAACACTGCACTTCAACACAAACACACTGATATTTGAATAAGAAATAAAAGCCAACAACAAGTCAAATTGAATCTTATTTGTTTATTGTTATTGTTTACTGTACTTGAGCAGTTTGAACAGTACATATAGAGTCAAATCATAACTGCAGTTGAGTATACAATCAAAAGTTAACAAAATACTGTATAGAGCTCAAAAGGAGCAAGCTGAAGTAAAGAAATACTTTTGGGTGCTTGCCCTCTTGTTACAAAACCAAAAGAAAACCAAACCTGCTGATGACATGAATAAACATGAAGCACACTGGTTCATAGATTACAGTTCATAGAATCCATTCAGCAAGAATTGACAAGATTCAAACAAATTTCATTCTTTGATGCGTATTTGTCTGCGCACACACGCATACACACCTGAAGTGTGCATGTGCCCGCACATAGTGTGTGTGTGTGTGTGTGTGTGTGTGATCAATAAGAAAACAACACCAAACACAAGTACCTGAGAATAATAATAATAATAATGCATGGGTTTTATATAGCGCTTTTCTGGACACTCAAAGACGCTTTACATGTCATGATTCATTCCCTCCATACACGGTGGTGATAAACTACTACTGTAGCCACAGCTGCCCTGGGGCACACTGACAGAAGCGAGGCAACCAGTATGTGCCATCGGCCCCTCCGACCACCACCAACCATTCACACACACCAGACTCATTCTAGGCAATGGGGGTGAAGTGTCTTGCCTAAGGACACAACGGCAGTTTGGCACTTCACGGCCGCAGCCGCCCCACTGTGGCTGGTGGAATCAAGGATACACACATACATACAGTGAACCCTCATCAGTGGCATATGCTTTAAAGATGCTTAACTTGTACAGCTTTTTAAAGTTTAAAAAGGTTTTAGCAGTTTTCAGGCTCTCTTCAAGTTCATTCCACAAATTAGATTGTATTTGTAGATTATGGTTGGAAGCCGTTGAAGTCTTACCTTGTGCCTGATTTGCAGTGTTCTAAACCTAATTAGATCATCAAATTCCAATCATTTAGATTTGAGAAACAGTGGGTTTGTATGATCCTTCTTTTCTATAGTGCTGGTTACTTCCTCTACCAAGTCCATGATTGCAAGTGCTGTAGAGCGGTTTTCTCTGAAGCCATACTGGTTTTCATGTAGCAGGCCGTTTTTGTTTATGTACTTGTTTGAGCGTTCAGAAAATAGATTTTCTACCATTTTCGATATCTGTGGCAAAAGCGAGATTGGTCTATAATTTTCAAAAGAGCCTATTTTGAAAATAGGTAGAACTTTATCTATTTTCATTTTGGATGGGAATTTGGCTGTTGGCAGTTGGATGTTTAATGTGATCACATTTGGATTGCTTCAGGGCAGTCTTCTGTTGAGCTCTCTCTGTCCCTCGGTCGCTTGTTCTGGGCTCCTCTGGAGTCATCCATCCCTAGACTTTCTTCCACTTTACCCTGAGCCAGGTCACTGAGGCAGGAGTCTGAGCAGAGAGGCCCAGACTTCCCTCTTCCCCTATTGCAGCTGGATGAAGCGTTCCCTGGCCAGCTCCTGATTCAGCTCCCTCTTCACCACCACAGTCTCATAGAGCGGCCGCTTCACTGCAGGCGCTGCTCCTTCCCTCACAGTGAACAAGAGCTGAGATACTGGAACTTGTCCCTTTGAGGAAGGACCTCTGCATCTCCTGGGGAGGGCGAGGCATCTTTCACACTTCCAGAAGTGTGGCCTTGTATTCAGAGGGGCACTTCACCCTCTGCAGCAAAACTGCCCAGTCAGGCACTCTCATGGGCAGATGTGTTTTCCCTCAGCGCCTGCACAATGAGACATCACCATTAGACTGTTGGAAGCCTATAGTAAATCCCAGTGTAGATTTGCTGGTGTTCTTTTGAACTGGAAAAGTGTCAACAAACTAGTGTTAGACAGTGCCCTGGCGCTCAGTGCATTTACCACAGCTTTGGCCATAAACACAGATGAGTTAGTGGGAGCGCTCCAACAGCAGTTTGAATACACTCTGCGTCTCCATGACAACGAGCCGCGCGTCACAGACGCCGAATTGACAAATATAAAAATGAAGGGTTTTAGTTTAGCCCAATTGAAGTGGTCAGTGAGTGCATCGTACATTTTCTCTCTGGTCAAAAGATAAAAATATATTGACGTTTGGCCTCAGGGTGTGTTATTTCCACCCAAAATACAAGTCAGCTTTAAATATAACATCTGGTCCAAGTTTAAACGGTTGATCACCATGGCGGCATGGGTAGAGCAACCCGCCAATGTAAAGCTCGGTTCAGGAGTCTGGGGTTCGAGTCCCACGGTCAGCACTCTGGACAGAGAAGTCCTTGATTGGTGAAAACCCTCACCGCGGTGAAGTTAGTTTGAAGTTGGATATCCGACAGACATTCAACGGTCATTCCCTCTCGGTACACTTCTCCTTCTCTCTGGGTTCAGAGCGACTCGAAAATCCAATGAGTTTGAAAAAGTAAAACCAAACGGGTGTCTCCCGTCTCTTCTTCTTGTGTTTCTCCGGCGGCAGCCGACTCTTGAGTGAATCCAATTTCTAAAATCTACCTTCTTACCCTTTACCTCTCTTTATTATATATAATTAGTATATAATTATAATAGTATATAATTAGTATATAATTTATAATTTGTGAATGTCAAATGTTTTCTTATTTTCTGCTGATGGCCGAAGAATAAACGAATATATATATATTATCATTCTTAACGTCATTGGTAGGACATTATCCAAAGTGGCTTTCAAATCGTCTTAAAATGTGTTATTAAATGTATGTTATATGTGTAACCCAGGTGTAAAACCAAATTCCTAATTTAAATGTAAACCACAAAGGAATGGCTAACATATTTAAGTACTAAATGAAAATGTGTACTTTGTTTATTCATTTATTTGTATATGTGCCAACACAATGCACTGTAGTGCAGCATATAAGTTGCGTAGCAACAGCCAAAACGTTACGTTCAGATCCACGGTGCACGCGACCCCGCTTCCCCTCTCTGACCGGAGTCAAGCAACGAGACACACGCAGCGAGACACACGCAAAGCTCAGCTCCATCATTTCAACAATTCAAAAGCGCAAATCAGAGGAAAAATGACATCAATCCAAGCCAAAAGAAGAGTCCTGTTGCTGGCCTGGAGTTAAAGTTGACTGATCGAGCAGAGAAAAGAGAGAAAGACAAGCTGAGCGCAGATTCCGACACCGTTCCGTAAAGGAACGAGAGAGGATTGAGGCAGTTATCTGCGCGAGCGCTCACATCCAGAGCCGTGACGTCACTGTGTCCCGGCTCATACGCGCGTGAATCGGTCAGGTCTTTTTAATGAGATTTGGAAACATCTTTGAAGAAGACCACTAGATGGCGAGCCACCCTACCTGAGCCAAAACTGGATGATCCCATTGCAGACCGCATGAGCTATCGGCTGCGTAGGACCGTGTCAGCTGACCACCTTGAACAAAACTTTAAGTGCACTCACAGACTTTAAGGATTTATTTATGGGTTATTTTAAAGGCGCCTATTTATTTTGTATTTTATTTTACATTACATTGTATTTGTGGTAACAATTCTTGGCATAATTAACTAAATTAATTTACATTTAACTATTGTCTGTCTTTCATTGTGGCTATAGTTCCAACACTTTACATTTGAGCTCTTTAAGAACCTATAGGTTCTTAAATAGTCGTTCATGTTAATGCCAAAGTGGGTTACATTAGCCAAACCTGTGGCTGCCCTCAGCAGAGGAAGAACAAACGCTTTCTGATGGAGTCGGATGCAGCCGATTTCTGGCTCTGTCAAATATGTAAAGAAAGATGAGAAGAATTTTAAAAAACAATTTCTGAAATATAATCATCTTGATTGTGTTTTGTGTAAAGATTGAGATGAAGAGATCCTTTATTCGTCCCACAGTGGAGACATTTCAGTGTTGCATCAGCAGTTACAGAACAGCAGAAATGAGTAGCACACAAGACAAATGATCCCTCTGTAGAGTAAATCAAATCAAATAAAAATGTCTAACTCTAGCATCAAAAGAAGCAGAATATAATCTCTATCTTTAGCACAATGAATACAAGAACCCTGACTTTCACATGATATCAAAGTATAAAGTCTCTACCTTTGGCATAATAAGAAGCAAGTATAAAGTAGTGTGTATTGCAGTAAGATGGAGTTGTGTGTATGCATCTGTACATGTTAGCAGCACGAGGGGGGTATGGTTTTCATCCAGGATGTCTCTGTACACTACTGCATTCATCTTTCCCTCTTTCTTGACTAGCCTCAGTTCCTGCCGCTGAAAAACATCCCCATGATGCTACCACCACCATACTTCACATAGGGATGGTATTGGCTTGTTGAAGAGCAGTGCCATGGTTTCCTCCAAACATGACGCCTGTATTCACCCCAAAGAGTTCCATCTTTGTCTCATCAGACCAGAGAATTTTTTTACTCATGGCCTGAGTCCTTCAGGTGGCTTTTGGCAAATTCCAAACTAAGAAGCGGCATCCATCTGGCCACTCTACCATAGTGGCCTGATTTGTGGATTGCTGCAGAGATGGTTGTCCTTCTGGAAGTTTCTCCTCTCTCTACAGAGGAACGCTGGAGCTATGACAAAGTGGTTCCAAACTTCTTCCGTTTACGGTTTATTGTGCTCATTGGGACCTTCAAAGCAGCAAAAAAAATTCTCTACCCTTCCCCAGACTTGTGCCTTGAGACAATTCCTTTGACTTCATGCTTGGTTCGTGCTCTGACATGCTGTCAACTGTCACTGTAAACCCTGACAAGTAAAGTTTACTTGAAAAAACCATGGAAATAAATTGCGTATTAACTTAACTTGAATTCCTCGAGTACATCCTTTACTTGATATTACCAAATAAAATCAAGTGATTGCATTGAAGTCAGGGTTTACAGTGTGGGACCTGATATATACAGGTGTGTGCCTTTATTATATTATGTTATTATATAATGTATTTGTATACATTAATTATCTGTATTATTAGGCTGATGGAGCCTTGAAAAGTCGTGGTCTGTTGTTGTATCAGATTGCAATATGTACTAAGGCCAGCAGGGGACGCTCTCGTGTTATTTTGTTCGCCCGTATGTGTCCCAACCATTATTATTAGTTATTATTATTCCATGCCCAACAACCATAGACTGTAAACTAGAACATAGTTATCTGCTGGAGAAGTGGCTTAGATTATCAAATAATTACACTTACATACATGTCCATGTTTTTTATGTCTTTGTTTATTTAACAATACAAACTGGTTTACTCTTTAGTAGTATTAGTAGCAGCAGCAGCAGTTGTTATTAGAAGAAATAAAGAAGCAGCAGTTGTAGTACTAGCAGCAGTAGTTTGTGGTAGGATAGAAGCAGCAGTAAGTAGCCTATAGTTGTAGTAGTAGTAGTAGTAGTATTAGTAGTATGTGTCACATACTATATATATAATATGTCACAAATCGACCTGGTAGATCTGACGAAGGAAAACTGGACCACATTTCTTGAAGCACTGTAGGCACATCCCTAAGCTCAGTGAGTTTTTTTTAGCAGGTGAGGCCACTTTTAAAGAGGCCAAGTCCTGCAGTACCCGGGCCTCCCCCCGGGTCGCTCCCCTCCCCCTGGGTCACCTCCCCAGGAGCTCGCACCTGTAAGTCCACCTGCACAGGGAAGCGAGGCGGGATTCTCTGGCAATAAGACCAGGCCAGGGTCAACCGTGAGGCATAGCTTTTTTTCTCACTCGATAACTCCGGGCTAGGATTTAAAAAAAAAAAAAAAAAAAAAATTAGTAGTAGTAGTACAAGTACAAGTTGTTGAATGATTGGTTGTCACTGAAGTATTCGTTTCCTGCTTATTTAATGCAATAGATAGGGAGATAGATGTTCTTATACTTTTTCCAGTATAAACCTCACGCACGGTGTCAGGTTGTAACCGTTTACTCTAGTTAATTGCCTACTGCTAGGACACACCTCGCATGACTCACAAGTGTCTCAGCCCCCCCTTGCCTCCCCCTCCTCGTCCCCCTCCTTCCCTCCCCCTCTCTCTCCTTCACAAGTACCAACCCAGTGCCCATTGGCAAGTTGAGACACACGCGAAAGGAAGGAGTGTCAAGGAGCGCACGAAGCCGAAGAACAGCAGCTACAACAACCTGCGCAAGGATCGGGGTCCATCTTCATTACAGCTGGGAAACCTTCAAACTTCCTCCGCTTTCCACCACGGACGACGCACACAACCGATTCCGTTATGGGTCGCGTTCTGCGTGCGTAAATGGCACTGGCGCCGCGCGTGGAGCCGTGAAGAGCTTTGGGAAGGAGGACGTTCTTCCGTTTCTTCAGACCTGGGAAGGAAAAAGCAGGTTGTTTGTACTTGGGAGCTGCACGTGTCGCTAATGTGAAGACTCTGAACCAGGATCTACTGCCATGGAGAAAGTTTAATTACTTCACAGACTGAGGTGAGTGCGTTTGTTTGATTACACAAAGCAACGCACGGGGTTTATGCCCTTGAAGTAAACTATATCATAAAATGATAATGATAAAGGTTCTGTTGGCCCAGCTCATCAAACAACGCGGAAGATACTGAAAGTAAAGCTGATTACTTGTCAAGAGAGAAAAGTTAATTAAAATAACTGACAATATTGGAAAAGGATATGTACTTTATATGCATGATTGCCCCATAGTCAATAAACCATTAAAAAGTTATTACGTGACGGACTAAATGAAAGTAGGTATTCTGCCATTCACATACACAGGGCTGTCAAATTTGTGTCTAAATCAATTGGGTCGGGCCAGAATTTTAAATGTAAAAAAAAAAAAATGTACACATTTTTATTATAATAAATGTATGTAAATACATTTATTATAATAAAAATAAATAAAAAAACATTACATTTTTAGCGTTTGAATTTTATCTTTTGGTTTTGATTCTGAACAAAATCAGTTCAGTAACTGTTTGTTTGAATTGCACTGGACTAAAGGGGAAGATGGCTTGTGATTGTAGAATGAATACAGGGATAAGATGTTTTAAATAAATAAATGACGTTGTTTTCATGCCATTGTAGGATTCCACTAAAAATGGTCCCATGGGCTTTATGTTTGACACAAGATTTAAAAGGATTGGAGAGTCATGGGATATCTAACATTATCTACCTCCCAAGTCCTGGAAAAGTTTAGAATTGGATTTATGTTGGAAATGAAATAATTAGTTCCGGGATTTAATGTCTATAAATTGCTGAGGAGCCTTGGTTAGTATAAGATAAGTAATAAAATACAGTGTATTCTTGTTTAGCCCTAAATCAAAACCGTAGTAATCTCAGAGACTTAACAAAAACATTGAAATCACCAACACAGATCAGACAATCAACAGTTAGGACACAGAACCCATGTCCTAACAGAAGTTAGGACATGGGTTACATATTTGTAACCCATACAAATATGTATTGGTCCATACGGAGACCAATGTCCATGAGTGTTGATAAAAGTCCATACATATTGTAGAATGTTAAATGTAGAATGCTGGACTATTTTGTATTCATCAGGGAAATTTTATCCATATCCATGCAGTGCATTGGGATATACGTCTTTTTGAAGAATAAGTAGCACAGGTTTGTACTGGAGTGTACATTTATTTAAGATCGAGTTTATGTACAACGCGGAAGATAATTTGTTTCGGGACCAGATTGTGACCAATCACAGCGGACTAAGCTATAGAGCAAGAACTAGGGCCACGCAGCGGTTGCAGAACGTGGACAGGTCCGGTGCAGGACTGAAGCACTCCCAGGCGGGTCAGGCAGGGAAGTTTGCAGGTGTAGATGGAGGGGGCCAGGTTCAGAGGTCCCGTTGTCGTGCCATGAAACAGGCAATGGGACAACAGGTGAAGAGAAATGAGTCGATGGTCGAGCTCAAGGGACCCTACATATCCCAGCAAACTGACTAACTACGCAGCTTGACTGACGGTCTAAGATTGTGAGCCTTCCCTGAGTCTTAGCTTCCTAACCATATGCTAAACTGAAGAGGACTTTTCTAAGCCTAGCCTTGAATGTAAAGACTGTGTCTGAACGAAGGAGAGACAGCAGCGGCCACGGCTAGGCTTACCCAGGCTACAGCTCCAAAGAAAGGGTGTAATCCATGATAAATTGTTACGACTGATGAACGATGCAGCGGTTTGCCGGGCTGGGTCCCGTACAAGCAGACTCCAAAACCAGACAACCTAGCCATAGGCTAAATTGAAGAAGAGGGTTTTAAGCCTGGCCTTGAATGAGGAGACCGTGTCTGCTTCCTTAACATGAATGGGAAGCTGATTCCACAGTAAAAGAGCTTGGTGGCTAAATTTTTTGAGACCTTAGGAACCACCAGGCGTTTTTCGAATGCAGTTTTCGGTTTGGTTGAAATGACACTAATGTGTCTTGAAGATAAGAAGGAGCCAAGCCATTTATGGCTTTGTATGTTAAATTGTTGTGCATTATTGAGAGTGTTACAGTAGTCAAGCCTTGAGGCGACAAAAGCGTGGATCAATTTATCCGCGTCACTTTTAGGAAGGATATTTATGATTTTAGCAATGTTCCGCCAGTGGAAGTATGCTGTTTCAGTTGCTTGGCTTATATAAGCCTTGAAGGAGTTTTTTTTTGTCGAAAACTACTCTTAAGATTCCTCACAGTGTTGCTGGGTACTATATGTTGACATTATCAAGAGTGATTATCTGGTCGGCAAGGAAGTCGCGCTTCCAAGTAGGATCACTTCTGTCTGTTCCGGGTTAAGAAGTAGAAAGTTAAGAGTCATCCACGTTTTTAGATTTTTTATGCAGGCACTAAGCCTTTTCAGCTGATCCGTCTGATTTGGTTTCATCAACAGGTAAAGCCTTGTGTCATCTGCATAGCAGTGGAAGTTAATTCCATGCTTTTTACTGATGTCACCTAATGGCAGCATATAGTGTGAAAAGAATCGTTCCAAGGACTGATCCCTGAGGCACACTGAATTCCACTCCAGAGTAGGGCTGGGCGATATGGCAAAAAAGTAAAATCGCGATTTTATTTCCTGCTTTTGATTTTAAATTATATTTTCATCAGTCACAAAAGACAGACTTTGCCCATAACAATATTTTTTTATCTTTCCGCTCAATATTAAAGTTTCAAAACAATTTTTAATTTGTTTCCTCCAATACGTATTATACAAGTCTTGAACAGACTGTGCTGATATTGCAAGTATAATTCATGTGCTGCAGGAACTCTCACAAAAGCCTTCATTAGATTTCATGATTTTCACATTTTTCAGACCATTTTGAGACCATTCTAGCGTCTGCAGTAGAATGCTGTGGTCTATTGTGTCAAATGCAGCACTAAGGTCCAGTAGGACCAGCACTGACACTTGTCCATTATCAGCAGCTAGTAGTAAGTCATTTGTGACTTTGACTAGTACCGGTTCAGTCTATGATGAGCTCTGAACAGCTTTTCTAAAATTTTAGAGCTGAAAGTGAGGGGTGAGATTGGTCTGTAGCTTGTAAGCTTGTTTACATAAATTAGCTCTTGCTATGGCCCATTCCCGTCAATGGTGGCATAAATTTAGTTCGTAAACAACAATAAAGAGTATTCAAAAGGTCTTGACCTTTGACGTGACCAGAACTGGACTTACCTTATAGCATTGACATTAATATTGTATTCATTCTAGCTATTCAATTTAATATCTGCCACGTTGCCGGATGGAAACTAGGACATGTTTAGTATATGATAAAGAATACAAACAATTTAGTGGTTGTGTGAATCAATTTATTGTAAAATCTTGGCTATTTTCAAAATACATTGACAACAGAAAATCCTCTTCTGACCTTGATCAGAAGTCTTCAGTCTCTTCGGCCTGAATTCATACACAAACTGAATAAATGAGCTCAAGTTTTCAATTAAAGTACGGATTATAATACAACTTGTATTTAGTAATAAGCATTTTAATGAACTCAATAGATTTCTTTTTTTAAATGGCTTCTTTAATATGTAGTGAAATATCAAAGGTGTATAGGAGGATTTTCTTTTTCCGGGTGGATCATCAAGACTATTGGTCCTCCTAATGTCAATCATTTTGGTGATATGAGGCCGTCAGACGTACTCGTCAAATAAGACCAGGGTTTTTGGAAGATTCTTTCACACAAGGGCGTGCGCCAAATGCTCAAGTTTCTACTCCACAGGTAAAGTTGGGATTCTATTTGGAGAAATCCATTTCCAATCATTTATCTACTTCTATACTGTCGGACATAGTGGCAGAAGTGCAAATCATCTTGGAAAGTGAGCTTGTGTGAGCGATATCGACAGTGACATGTTTTAGTAGGCGTTCCCCTCTCAGAGCAGGGAGAGCATTGCACATGTGCATTTTACATTTTCAATACACATTTTAAGGCACATGTCTTTTTCACACTTAGCGCAACTAATCCCTTTTCACCGTTTAGTTCATGGAATGAAACACAATGATTATCCAAATCTTTCCAGCACATTCAAATAAATGAAATGAAATGAAAATCATTTCATTATTTTTTTTGTCCTAAATCACAACAGCGGTTGTCTCGGAGGATTTTTACATAGGGATGGATTCGTCAACAACAGAATACCATGATATGGTATTAAAAATGCCATAATAAAAAACACATAGGAGCCATTGGTCCATAAAGAGCGCGATGACCGTTGAAGAAGATGACATAGTCTGGGATCGCGTCTTTCATTCAGACAGAAGACATGTTTTATTGTCGATGGTAGAGACAGCACGAACACGAACAACAGAATGCAAGTGTATTATACAGAGCGGAGGCATGGAGACCTCCAATCAGCAGCTTCCACGGTGCCATGTAGCTTGGCCTTCAGAAGTCAAAACAAGGGAAAAGTACTGGCTTCTGCACATTGATAGAATGATGAGTTTAACTTTAACAAAAGTTGCTTAAAAGTGTTATGAAATCTCACATTCCCCCCTCTGGTCACACATTCACGTGTGACCATCAGATTCAGATTCATTTATTTGCCATTTGCAGTAAAACCACATAGGAAAAACAGTGCAAGACTACCCCAGTGTGCACCAGACGACACACACCAGAGCTCTTACCACTGCGCCATCTTTACGGCGCCATGCCGTGAAGATGGCGCCGGATCGATAAACAGCAGGATTGATAAGCAGCAACATAACATCATAACTCAATATTTAAACTCGGTACTTCACTCGGAATACTTCAAAAACTCAAACTCATAAAACATGTTCAGATCTTTCATAAAACTTGTCAACAATCTTCAGTAAAATACCAAACTTCATCAGTCAATGGTGGTTCCAGATATTGCTTTGAAAACAGTCTCTCCCACTTCTCCGTGTTGATTTCTTCAGGCGGAATTTGTGTCGAGCCATGAATTCTTCTGTGACGTGTCTTTCAATCGCACGTTTCAGCTTTAGTGTCCAGATTCAGCAATTCAATTCAGTCCAAATTATGTCCAAATTCAGAAATCCAATTGTTCCAAATTATGTCCATGCAAAAGAGGACGATGGTGTTGTCCATGTCTCAGCAGCTCACAGCCTGAGTGGAATCAGGGGCTGTGCAGATAGTCCATGTGCTGATCCAGATGCATGGGTTTTCTTGAGGTTTTTCAGTTTTGGCTTGAAAAAAAACAAACAATTTTTGTGTAAAAAAAAAAGTAGTCTTCTGTTCTGTAGATGTTACAGACAATGGGCCTCATTCACGAACGGCTCTTGGGCAAGTACAAATCCTACGAGTCCTCAGGAGCACTCGTACGCATTCAGTGCCGACATGTTCACACGCCGGGGTTGTCCTCTTTGGTGAAGTTGAATAAAAATACAACATTCCAGTGATATGTCCGTCATATCGATGTATGTATTTATTTATTTGTAGTAATCTTTATTAGTAATCTTTATTTATATACCGCTTTTTTCACTGCAGATCTGGCCTACTTTTTAATTCATTTTGAAATGAAATGTGCCAACGCTTTATCAAATACATTGGAAATCTTGCCGTGTATTAATGACCCCTTCCTATTTATAGGGGGCATTTCTTTATCCACGGGCCACAGAACAACGGCATATATACTGCTGCTGCAGGAGGTTACTGGGTCCGCGCTGAGTCTCTGCGCTGGTCTCTTCCATGGATCTATACTGGTCTGCGCTGGTGTCTCCCATGGATCTAGACGGGTCTGCACTGGTCTCTCCCATGGATCTATACGGGTCTGCACTGGTCTCTCCCATATACGGGTCTGCACTGGTCTCTCCCATGGATCTATACGGGTCTGCACTGGTCTCTCCCATATACGGGTCTGCACTGGTCTCTCCCATGGATCTATACTGGTCTGCACTGGTCTCTCCCATGGATCTATACAGGTCTGCACTGGTCTCTCCCATATACGGGTCTGCACTGGTCTCTCCCATATACGGGTCTGCACTGGTCTCTCCCATGGATCTATACGGGTCTGCACTGGTCTCTCCTATGGATCTATACTGGTCTGCACTGGTCTCTCCCATGGATCTAGACGGGTCTGCACTGGTCTCTCCCATATACGGGTCTGCACTGGTCTCTCTCCATACGGGTCCGTGCTGCATGCTCCTGGATCCATACGGGTCCGCGCTGGTCTCTCAAGTCTGGTCTATGCGGTCTATCTTCGGTCCGCGCTGGTCTCTGCGCACCGGTCTCTCCAGTCAGGTCACTCCAGTCTATGCAGTCTCTCCTATAGGTCCGCGCTGGTTTCTGTGTGCTGGTCACTCCAGTCTCTCCTCGGGTCTGCATTGGTCTCAGCGCTGGTCCGCGCTGGATCTCCTCCCAGGGTCCAAAATATTTTGAGATTAATCTTTAAAATAATACATAATATATTTTTAAATTAAGCTCATAACATTTTGAGATTAATCTCATCATATTCTTAGATTAATCTCATAATTTTGCTAGTTCGACTTTATTATCATAATATTTCGACTTTTAAGTCAACATTTTATAACTTTATTCTCAGTCTGGTAAAAGAAGTGTAACTCTTTGCTTTAGGCCTGTTGCTGTTTCCTCTGCCGTCTGCACACGGCCCTGCAGTCCCTTTTATGGGCATTAGTGGGCGGTTACTTATGCTAAGTACCTATGCTAATGAAGCACCTGGCACGCGCGCTGTACTTACGAGGAAATGGGATTCATCAATCTGAGAGAACAGCTGCGAACAATTCAGCGCCTTACGAGTGCGTTGATGAATCCCACGTGGGGACTTCTTAGAAATCTACTTAAGGACAACTTGAGAAGAAAGTTGAGTAGTTTCTTACGAAGTTATTCGTGAATGAGGCCCATTGCCCGCATCCTTCCACCACCTGAAGAAGATGACAAAGTCTGGGATTGCGTCTTTCATTCTGACAGAAGACATGTTTTATTGTCGATGGTAGAGACAGCACAACACGAACAACAGAATGCAAGTGTATTATACAGAGCGGAGGCATGGAGACCTCCATTCAGCAGCTTCCACAGTGCCATGTAGCTTGGCCTTCAGAAGTCAAAACAAGGGAAAAGTACTGGCTTCTGCACATTGATAGAATGAGGAGTTTAACTTTAACAAAAGTTGCTTAAAAGTGTTATGAAATCTCACACCGTCACACTCAAATGTTAGTAAATGTGCATAAATGTCTCGGATCTTCACTGTTCTCCTCCTGCATCAGCAATTCAAAAAGCCCAGTGGGGAAAAAGTGAGTTTCCTCTGCCCATATTGAGAGGGGCCTCCGCTCTGATGGACTTATATCCAGGACTTAGGCTGTAGAACAAGGACTGAGGCTGTGCAACAGTCACAAACTGCAGTCTTATATTGGAATAAGATTCACCATCATGTTCTTTGCATTTGTTGTTTTCAAATATAAGATGTCCTTGGCGTTCTAATCAGCCATCTCTGAGCGTGTGGCAGACCTCTTTTCAGTCCCTTCAAACTCACACAATATTCAGACAAACAAATTATAATCAAAGCTCAAAGCTGATGGAAAATATTCATATTTCTTTTGAATAAACCCTGTATAATTCTGCCACGTGTGTGGACTATTGTTTCTCAAATTACTCAAAACAAAAGTGTTCTTGTGTGAGTTTAATTCAGGACATAACTGTTATTTGCACATCCAATAACTATAGTTAGAGTGTCAATATGTTTCATGCAAGTGTTGTGGTTACAGTCAAGTACATTTTAAAAGCTGTGTTGAAGATTATATGCCACGTGAAGTCATCCAAATTCTCTGTTTTATCCAAAAAGGTAGGCTGGTGATTTTGGAAACAAACTCTTTAGAACAATGTTATGCATCTGAAGGCACACAGATGGACAAATTTTGTTCAATTGACATATTTGTGTAAACATGTTTTGTTTTAAAAACATTTTATTACATTGACATATTGTTGCAGCCCTAATTAGGGTTCTCAAAAATTCGACATTGATCCACAAATGGGAAACTAATTGGAGCAAGTAGCAACACTAAATACAATAACATGAACAGGACTAAATTTCACAGACTTTCTTAAATCTGGGTTACCTATTCATTTGACATATGACCTCTCTACAGTTAAAGAGCCCTAACCTAACCCTTTTTCAGATGGAACTCTGGAAGCCACAAATAAACTGTAATACAATTTCTTACGACCGTATTGTTGTCCTTAGGCACTTTTTCTGTCTCTTCTGTGGCACTAAACAAAATGTACTGTATTATTTATGGGACAACAAATGTATGTACCCGATTAATTGTGCATCTCTTTTGTCAGGCTTGCCCCCCGCTCAGCATGAGACGCTTCAGCTCCGAGGGCTCGCTCCTGGACCTGGACTTCCTCCCGTGGAAGAAGGTGACCTTGAAGAGCACAGATCAGCCCACAGCTCGCCACTCCGCAACCTACACCCTGCACGAACACGCTCAACACGAAGCGGACAGCCCCACGCCCGGATGCTTTGCCCCCATCGTCATCCGCGAGCCCACCGGGAAGAGGGGCCTAACCAAGGAGCGCAGCATCAGCTCAGAGAACCTGGACCACGTGGGGAAGAAGGAGCACAGGGACATGAACCGGCTGAGCGTGTGCGCCATCAACGAGGGGTTCCGGGCGTACAGCGACGGGCAGTTAGCACCTGCAGCTAATGGCAGCATGGAGAGCATGGACGAGGATGCTCCGCCCCCCTGCGACGTCACGCCTAACCCCCTCAAGTCCCAGAGGAGAGCCAAGCTGCACGCCGCAAAACTGCACATCAAGAGTCTGTTTGGTGGACAGGTAACAAGTGTTTTGTATTTTGGCTTGTGTCGAGTTGAGTGTTTATTTCAGTGCTGTCCAACCGCTTTGAGCCGTGGCACATTATTCACTGGATAAATGTATTGTGAAATAGACAATAGATGAGAAAAGCACACACAAGAAAGAGTTAGAGATAGTGGACTACTTCAATCCATATAGGAAATACATAGGAGATAATTATGTAAGGAAAATGTGGGAACACGTTTGTGGGAAGCCAAATAGCTGTATAGAAACAACAACAACAACTTATTCTTGTATAGCCCTAAATCACGACAGAAGTAATCTCAGAGGATTTAACAAGACCATTGAAATCACCAACACAGATCAGAGGATCAACAGTTGAGACACAAAATGTACACATATGTATTGGTCCATTGGGAGAGACCAATGGCCATGAAAGTGTTCTGGATTAAGATTATTCGTCCCACAGTGGGGAAATCTCAGGAGCAATTCTGCTACTTTGGTGCCTAGAGGGTTAACTTAGAAATGGTACATTCCTGGAGTAAGCAGGGCGGGGCAGAGAAGCTGTCAGCACGACTCAATCAGATGTGGCGTTGTTGACGGTTCCAGTCACCCCCAATGCCCACAATGCGAGCTTACGTTACATTATTTGGTCAGCTCCGGAACAAAGTGTTATCATGAATTCACTTTGTTTTTCTTCCCTGGCTGCACAATTTGGTTTCGACTTATCAACAAGAAGGTCCTTGGTTAAAACCCTGGACCTTGCAAGTTTGCATGTTCTCCTCGTATTCTAGGAGTGACGTCACTGTAGTATTCGCCCAACGTGGAAGATGCTCGCCTGACTCTCGCCAGACCCTTGTAGACCACTGCACTTTTCACATGTGTCTGGGTCTGACCCATAGCGATTGGATTTCAGGAGGCGGGGACTAAATAAACCACTTGTCCGTTATCTTGAATGACGTCTTCCTTCAACCACTCACATCGAAGTACATGATTCCCATGGGTTTCCAAATGCCGGCAAGATTTTCCAGCCCAAAACCCGCGAGAATGCCCAAAAAAACACCCAGAATATTTTGCGGGCTAAAAACGTAATGTAATCAACTTGGGCTCAAGATCATGATTCGGTTTATTGTCTTTTGTTTATTTATTACCTACAAGTCTCTTGGAAAAAAGTATGCGGGAAACCACCCAACCTGGCAACCCTGCTGAGTAGTGTTATAAACAGGAACACTTAAACCAGTGCTTAAACCAAATTTCACACAAACATTTGACTTTTAAAACACACATAACAACATGGAACCATCAACATCTCGTCTCATATTGCATTAAGTGACATCCGCCGTTAATTTGTTTATATTTAAACTTTTTTCAAAAATTCATGGACTTGCGCTTGATCCCAGACCCTTGTGTGTGAAGCGAAACACCTCTGGTGGAGCATGGCGGAACTACAGGGGTCTGACGAGAGTCAGGCTAGAAGAAGCTGCTTTGGTTAGCTTTTCGTCGTAACAGGGGCAGGCGTGTTGCTAAGATTGATGCTAGGGCAAGCTGGAGTTTCCCCCTGTGAAAAAAAGGCACCTGATTGGTCAATCCTTTAATGACATATTTGGATTTACATTGACTATGTCAAAGTATAAACACCAGGGTCACAGAGAGCACTAAACCAAAATGGTGAGTGCGACCAAAATGGTTACCGAGTTAAAGGAGTCACCTTTGAAATGTAAGTCAATTGGAGCCAGAGTGAGTTGGAGCAAAACTTTGCCCATGAGCACTTCCCCATTGAGCGTCATTGCGCTTGTGGGTTATCATTGTCCGTCTGTATACAGACGTGTCTGCGTCGGTTTCCTTTACCACTAAACACATGTTCATTAGCTCTCCTGAAAATAAATGGTTCTGCTTAAATAACTGTATATATGTCACGTTCATTGACATGTGCTGAACCTTCATGTCAATGAAAAAATAAACTTGATTGTTTTGGCAAATGTGGCAATTTTGTCATTTTGCTATTTATGCTTCAAAAGTACTTTGGTTCAATGTGACCAAAATCTCCTGCAATGTTTTATAAAATATGTGAGCTCTTAAACTACAGCAAAATTACACCTATATTATACCATTTATTTATTTACTATTTGTTTTTTAATTCTTTGGGAGGATAAGCCCCCAGAGATCAAATTAAATACGAAAAAATATAAATATTATGTAGAGACTGTTTTGACAATATTGTATGGATAAAATGCATTGATTTCTTCTGTTCTTCTCAAGTCTTTTCAAGCAGAACCTAGAATAAGTCGGAAACATGAGTAGGAAACATTCAGATATTTCTTTACAATCTTTTCGGACTTTGTGCAAAAGTTTCACTGTTCTCACTGAATGAGACGGATCCTGCAGCCCTCGTCCTTCCTCTTTTTCATGTTCTTTGAAAATATTCATCGCGCTGCATTTATACAATCAATGTTTTCATATGAACAATTTTCACGCTCCTCTTTGTCTTGGAGATGATTCTGAGCAGATACAGGGAGGTGTGAGGATTACTATTGTGGATTTGGGGAAGATTAGAGAAAATGTAAACATTGGTCAGTTTAGAGAATCTCTGGGTCCCTCACGCTATGATACAAATGTGACACCTGTGGTTATTTATATATACTTTTTACATTATGAATTTGATTACTTTTTTGTTACAAATATTTTTTTTTAAATGAACAAGGGTATTTGTATTTTTGTGTGCGAGTATTCTATATACTATTTATAGACTAAATAGACTAGATTACAGATTTAAATTATTTACAGTTGTCTTTAGGCTTTTGGAGTGAAATAGTGAAAGTATTACTCCCATTGATTCCCGTTCATTTTAATTGCACCCGTCGGCTGAACTGGTGGTTGCTAAGAAGCTAGAGACTTTTTGATCATTGGAATTAGCATATCATTCATTGACTTTGAGACAGAATATTATGACACATTGCAATATCCATATTTTGGCACAACCGACAGTGTACGGATTACAAAATAATAAAATATAAAATGCTGCAAACAGAGCAGGTTGGGGGAGTGACTGCTCTGACTTGAACTTCACCAGCACAAGTTACAGGTCATATCTGTGGAGAGGCGAGCTTTGAGTGTGCAAAAGTTCCCAGTGTGCACAAGAGACAACAATTCTTCAGTTGTATATAGTGTACATGGCTTTATTCATTCACTCCATACATGGTAGTGATAAGATAAAACTGTAGCCACAGCTGCCCTGGGGCACTGTAACAGAAGTGAGGAAGCCAGTGTGTGCAACTCTCTGACCACCAGCATCATTTATTGACTCACCAAACTCATACATGTGGGTGAAGTGTCTTGCCTTTAGACACAACAACAGTTTGGCGTTATACAGCCATGACCGCCCCACTGTGGCTCCTAGTGTTCCCAAAGGTCTCCCATCACAGACTAACCAAGCCCTGCCCTGGATGCCCATATAACATAATATGAGACATGTGCGAGCTGATGCGAATGATAAACAAGTTCCTGTGTTAGAAGTGTTCAGTTTTCTTCACTCTCTGTTTTCTCCAATTAAAACCTTTTCAGTCTCTTCTGTGGAAACATCTGTGTCTGAAAAATGCACAAGTTTAATATCGTTCGGAGGCACATTCCAAGCTACGAAATAACATCTCCATGACAACAAGTGGGTAGTGAACGAGGGCAGTCAGTCTTGGATCATTTGTCAATACAATTGGTCGAAGGTGCAAGGGTTTCTCTGTAAAAACTGCAAACATTGTCTTAACTCAGACTGAACTTCATGTTTTAGTACCAGCTCTGCTTGACATAACATTCTCATCGCCGAACACCAACCACTTAGACTTTAAAACACCTCTGTTTGGTGCAAGGCCATGGAGAGACTTGTAACAAAGTACATTAGTGACATGTTAGTGCAATATGAACCAACTCGGACTGAGAAAGCACAGGGACCGGCCTCCTGCTGGGACTGAGGAAGCACAGGGACCGGCCTCCTGCTGGGACTGAGGAAGCACAGGGACTGGCCTCCTGCTGGGACTGAGGAAGCACAGGGACCGGCCTCCTGCTGGGACTGAGGAAGCACAGGGACCGGCCTCCTGCTGGGACTGAGGAAGCACAGGGACTGGCCTCCTGCTGGGACTGAGGAAGCACAGCGACTGGCCTCCTGCTGGGACTGAGGAAGCACAGGGACTGGCCTCCTGCTGGGACTGAGGAAGCACAGGGACCGGCCTCCTGCTGGGACTGAGGAAGCACAGGGACCGGCCTCCTGCTGGGACTGAGGAAGCACAGGGACCGGCCTCCTGCTGGGACTGAGGAAGCACAGGGACCGGCCTCCTGCTGGGACTGAGGAAGCACAGGGACCGGCCTCCTGCTGGTGCCCAGAGTCAGGAGTAAACATGTGGAGGTAGCGTTTCATATTCAATAAAAAAATCTGGCATAGAAACAAACAAAGAGCAAACATGGCTCTTCTGAAAATCTTCAAGTCCAGGTTGAAAACAGTTCTGAGGGTATATATCTATCACTCTTTAATGTACCATGACAAACTATTTTAATGGCTTGTGTTTTTATTTCTATCGTGTTTTGTTCAGCACTTTGGGGTTGCCTTGAGTATGAACTGTGCCATACAAATAGCCTTGCTTTGCCTACATCAAGACGACCAATTTCATTGTGCTCCGCTGTGAGTGAGATTCTATGTGTCTCTGCACTGGGATTAATCGCCTCCACTCGATCCTGCACTAATCTCATCATCCGCGCTCCGTTGTGACCAGTCTCCCTCAGAGATCACACTCATTAGAAAGCAAGGACATGTGCCTCCTGGACCACCATAACGTACATGGATTATCTGTGCATCTGCCCTGGAAAGGAAACACATATTCCACGAGTGAATAGACGGTTAATGGCAGTGTTGGCGGCTGTTCTGAATGGCCCTGATTATCGTAAAAGCAAAGGCTGTCATTATTTTGTCTATAATAGAATGAGGTAAAAATGCCAGTCTTGTTAAAGGGCATGCATTATGGTTTATTTTTTTTTACCATATTATGATATTGTTCCTCATCCAAAACAGAGCTGGAGTGTTGTGGGTTACTCCATTCATGTGTTATACACTCGTCCCCCCACCCCTTCTGTCTAAAGGCTCTGGTTTCAAACATGAGGATTCTTCACAATACAGTTTTGCCATGGACAGTGCTGTTAGTCTTGTGGGAACTGCATTTCTGATGGAGAAACATGGAGCCAAGTCTCTGCTCATGTGTGTGTGTGTGTGTGTGTGTGTGTGTGTGTGTGTGTTTGCGCATAAGTGTGTGTGGGTGCAAGAGTATGTGCTTGTGTGTGTGTTAGAACTTGCTAAATTAACATAATCTCATTAAATGAAAAGCTGGAGTATCTATAACTTTATAACCTCTAAAAATGAACTACATAATATCACCCACGCCACTAGCTCCTCGCTCTCAGCAGTTTGGTTTTATCAATAGTTTTAATATGACTTTGTTGGCCTCAGTCACTTCTTTAGATCAGTTTTTCAGACAGAAAAGGCGCACCCTCACTCGGCCAATCAGATCTCAAGTCAAAGAGTGAAAAGAAAACGTGGTCTGTTTTAATACTTCATATATATAATTACATGTGTATATATTTCACCAAAATAACTTTTGGTGAAAAGTTATTTTATATTATTTGTTAACAGAATAACAAATAATTTTCAATACAATAAGTTAACAAAGCTGACTGTTTGGAAAATAATGTAAACAAATTAAGTATGCAAAATAAAAAACAACTATTGTGGTTTGTTCTGTTTGTTTTGTTCTCAACATTTACCTTTCCAACCAACATGCATTGTCAATGCTAGGAAAAATATTGGTACCCCAGCTTTAATTTAGCCATTTTTAAAAAGTTTAGTTGCACTGTTGCACGGGCGACAGTGGCTCAGTTGGTAGAGCATTGGCCTTAGAGCCTGAAGGTCATGGGTTCGAGCCCTCCGTAAGACCTACTTCACGAATCCCACTGATGACTGCTGTCGTTTTGTCCTTGGGCAAGACACTTAACCCCACTTTTCCTGAAATCCCCGCTGAATAATCAAGGCTCATGTGGACTCACCACCTGCAGGAGGATCAGTGAGGGGCTGATGATCTGTGTTCTGGGTGCAGCTCTGACTGCATCCCCCCGACCCAGAAATGGATTGAGGGGAAGAAAATGGATGGATGGAAGTTTTGTTGCACTTTGGGAGGAGACACAGGGGAGACATGGCTTTAAAATCCAGCTTTGTTTCTTGACGCGGCACAGTTTATGCAAAGACTCGCATGGAACAGCCTGTTTGCAAGTTTATGGTCAGATTATGCCCATCTTACGGCGTTTGCAGAGCATTTTCAAAGCGGTCGCAGGTGCTCTGTGGTCAGAACGCTGCAGGAGGATGTGGAATCCTGTTCGAGGACGTTCAGCAAACAACAGCAAGTTCCCCGCAGTCACACATGTCACTGGAACACAAATTGCAAACTGCGCAACGCTGATATCTTTCTGATACTTTAAATATATCCCTCTACCGGGATCTCTTCTCATCCGTCGATGCGTTGGTGCATCCCTTTTAAAAAGTCTTGTTTTTGTAATCCTTATATCATTGCTAATCATTGGTTTTGTGTGTGTTTGTGTGTGTGAGAGCGTATCTAAATGCTGTTTCTCTTGCAGAGCCCTCACTCGTCTCACTCGAACCTCTTCAGCTCTGATCACAAGGAAAGGTCAGTGGTGTTTATCTCCTGCCTCTGCCAACAGCAACACTTTCTTAGATCTCATCATAATCTCTTTATGAACTTAGCAAACGGTTTCCATTAAAGCTCCACTTCATTGCTCATAATTACTTTTAATGAATATCTATCACCATGCGCACTTGTATATTGTAAATAGTAACTGTAACTCTATTTTAAATTTAAATTTATTCTTTAGAAGTGTTTTTTATTCTTATTTTTATTATCTCTTTTTGACTGTTGCACTGAGCCAAAGCAATTTCCAAGTCTGTGACCTCCCGTTACTTACGTTGGCAATAAAAATGATTCTGATTCTGATTCTGATTCACATGAGCGACAGTGGCTCAGTTGGTAGAGCATTGGTCTTTGGGCCTGAAGGCCGTGAATTTGAGCCCATCACAAGATTTACTTCTCAACTCCCTCTAATATCTGCTGTCGTTGTGTCCTTGTGCAAGACACTTTGCCTGGAGCCCGTGTTCTTTTGTCGGCCCCCCTCACATGCGCCCCTGTCCTGTGTGCTTCTGTTGCCCCCCCTCCTCACATGTGCCCCTGTCCTGTGTGCTTCTGTTGCCCCCCCTCCTCACATGTGCCCCTGTCCTGTGTACTGCAGTGTCTCGGAGCGGCGATCCAGGCTTCTCTTCATGAGGCAGTGGAGCCAGGTGGGCCCCAGCCGGAAGAGGAAGATCAGCCGAGAGGAGTTGGAGCGCTGGGCAGAGTCCTTGACCGCGCTGCTGTCCAGTCACAGTGAGTCCCACCCTGCCCTCCCAGCAGCACAATGCCCGTCCCAGTCCAATCTCACCACTGAAATAAAACTTTAATATATTTAGCATTATCCAGGCCCTGCCCCCTTTCTCTCTGTTACAACACAAAGCAGACACATACAAGACACAAGGTCCAAACCCTCTCTGACCCTACAACTCTCCCCCATCACTTGTTTTGTTTTGTTACATTGGACTTGTGAACATCTTAAAGTGCATCAATGTGCATTCTTCATCTGCTGTTTGAACAGTATCTAAGACGGGGGTGTCCAAACATTTTAGTGATAGGGTCTGTTTGTTTGTGCAGGTTGATGTATTATTATTTTTTGGATTCTATTTGTTCCTTTCTGTCTTTGGGATGATGTCATGCTCCTCTCCCCTGATATCAGACCTATCACAGCAGCAGGTTAGTGTCAGAGTACGTGTGCGATATGAGGAGAGAGGCTGTTTTGTAATGCACGTAATCCTAAACAATTAAAGAGAGAGAAAGTAAACTACAGAATATGATTTCGTCTTTTAGAATAAAACTGCAACATAGAAAAAGACAATATTCTTTCTGCGAGTGCTTGTTTTTGTGTATTTTTGTGAGTTACAAACCGTGACTTGTCCAGGGCCCGGCAACATGGCTTGTAAAACTGTTTTAAGATTAATATTAAGATTAAGAGATTCTTTATTTGTTCCAACAGTGGAGAAATTCCAGTGTTGCATCACCAGTTAGAGAAGAGTAGGATTGAGGGGCACACAGCACAAGACAAGTGAACAATAACGTTATATTGAAATTAAATAAATAAAGAAGGGCAAGTGTGTGCTCTAGTATAAGTATGGTAACAGCGGACACACGTGGTTCTATATTGCACATTCTGACATTATTCTGCAGGGGTGCAACTATCCACTTTCTGGGGGGTTTGCAAACTGAGCACACCGACTAGCCTGCTTTGATTCATTATTCATTTCCACCTAGCATTTTGGCTTCCCCTTGTCCTTCGGCGCCTCTCTGCAAGACATGGAAATTGTGAATATGCCCCATTTGTGCCACTGTTGTTCAGATGATTATTGCACTGAGATCAAAGGACACAAAGTGGTTCCATATTGCACATTCTGACATTATTTCGAATGATTGCACAGATGCGACATGTGAGGTCCGGTCGGCAGTGTTGGTCAGTCCTCATTGTTCGTTGTCCAACTGGATTCAGACTTTCCCGATCTTTAAAATAGAATCTGCTATTGATTCCTACATTCACACAAACAACTCCAGGTTTGTTGTTTGACGAGGAAACGATATCACAACATAGTCCAAATCTCAAAACAAGCTTTTCGAGTTTTCCGACTCTAATTGTTTTAGAGCAAATCCTACTGTGTGTTATGTGAGAACAACACAGGGCAGACACACATTTTTCTTGCTAACAGTTTGTTTTTTCCTCTCTGTGCAATTAGCTCACGGCGCGCTGCTCATTCACGTCCCCCTGAGTTCTTGTTCGCGCTGTTGCCGGGCGGGTTTTACTGCGGCCGAATCCCAGTTTCATTAGTTGGAGCTGGTGAGGCAGCGGAGCTTTTATTGATCTGCTTTGCTCCCACCGGCTTTGGTGCACTAAAAAAACGTGTAGCGCACAATTAGATGTGCGAGAGTAATAAGGAGACAGGCGAAGGGCAGGAACTTCTAATGGAGATGAATGCAGGATAATAAACCTGATGTTACGAGATACACGCAGATAAAGGGCTTTGTTCAGTTTAAAAGTGCATTGGAGGACTTGAATTGCTTTTTGCTGTGAGATATGAGGATATAAAAGCTGGGGGACCTTTAGAAAAAACTAAATTCAGTTGTATTCTAGCACTAAGTTGCTCATAAATGTTTCTTTGGCTTCTGTCACATCTTTAGATGAGCTTTTTTCGGACAGAAAAGTGAAAAAGAGAGGACCACCCTCACTCAGCCAATCAGCTCTCAGTTAGGGGTGGGAACCTAAGGGTACCTCACAATACGATACACGATACAAAGCTCACGATAACGATATAATCACGATAACGATTTTATCACTGTATGACGTTTATCAATATGTTGGTCAGAAATATACAATATGCCAATTTATGGCATAAATAAAAGAAAAACTACACTTTATTTCATAACTGGAATGGAGATGCGTAATGTAGCCATATATTAAGTATTGATACCAATACAAAAAAAAAGTAAAACAAAACCAAATTGTTGTTTTATAAAAAATCGATATCGATACATGGCAAATGCTTATCGATAATCGAATCGCGGGAGAAAGTATCGTCACACCCCTACTCTCAGTCCAAAGAGTCAATTTTTCTTTTGTTTTTGTTTAAGATAAGATATTATTTCCTCTCTCTGCTGTAATGTGCGCAACGATGACACTGACATTTCTCCACTGTGAGACTAACAAAGGTTTATCTTATCTTAGTCTCTATTTTAAGGGACAGTTTACAGAGACATTAAGCTCAAAGACAGATATGTTCTGCACCAGATTTTAGCTAAACTGCTAGTTTCCATCTGCAGTCCCTGGTTACATAGATAAAATGCATGGATACAGTAATGTACAATCCAATAGAAATAACATCGCAATACAACACACTCTCTGATTCACACACACACACACACACACATTTAGCCTTATATCTGTTTGTTACAACCACACCTCACTCACAGCATCACACATGCACAATACATCTACTCAGTCTCATGTCACCGCCATACATTCAGATGATGCGTAAGTAAGTTTTTTAGTAAGTTTTTATTTATATACCGCCTTTTCACTGCAGATCTGAGTCTCAAAGCGGTTTACAATTGTTAATTTTGGGCATTTGTCTCTCACTCCACACAGAGATGGGAGCGGGGTCGCCAGTACAGGAGGCGCATGCCAGAACTATTGGACATATTTTTAGTGGTAGGGGAAACCTACGCAGACACGGGGAGAACATGCAAACTCCACTCAGAAAGGCCCTGGTCCGACCGGGATTCGAACCCAGGACCTTCTTGCTGAGAGGCGAGAGTGCTACCCACTCAGCCACCGTGCCGCCAAATGCGTTAACACATTCAGTACATTTCACATACAACAGTAGTCCTGTGCCTCAGAGCAAACCTCAGTGTTTGTGTGAGCAGCAATTAGTGACTCACTGACACGTATAGGCACAGGTACATGCACACACATGCACACACATGCACACACACGCACACACACATTTTTATGGCTCAACTTCACACAGCGGTATGTGAGCTAACGGCGCCTTCTCCTCCGCACTCTGCAGACCATGATCATAAATATCCTCTACTTTAGTCAATCTTTATCCGTCCCTCTGCTTAAATGAAAGGAATGTGTTAAACTGTGACTCATAAAGGCAGAGTTCACTTTCCTCTGCTCGCCTCTGTGCGCTCTCTGCCTCTGAGCTCCTCCATGTCTCTCCACCGTGTGTCTATCAAACTATCTCATTATCACATGTTTCGCACAAATCTCAATATGCTCCTATACGGTGAATATTTCTGGACAGTTGCCATCTGCCCCTCTTTGACCAATGGCTCTGTGTTTTTTATCACTGCATTTTCTGGGTTTGAGCCGTATGATTCTCTGATCTGTGTTGGTGAATCGACAGCTTTGTAAAGTCCTCAGAGATAAATGCTGTTGTGATTTAGGGCTGGACTTAAATACATATGGTTTGAATATTCCCTTAAAAAAAAAAAAACTGAATATTTTGATATATTTGTAAGTAATTAAGTCATCTTCAAGAATATAGCGCCTTACACAGACCAGAGTCACAAAGCGTGTGGGCATTTGTCGCTCACTCCACACAGAGATGGAAAACAAAGAGAAAAAGGTTTGAGGAACTTAAAATAAAAATCCTTTGTTATTGAAGGGATATTGAGGTAGAGGTTTGGGATAAAGGCAAGTTTTCTCACAGAGTGTAGCAGGTTGGACCTTTCATATATACTTTATTGTACTCACTACTAATTAAGCAAAAGTTGGAGATTTCAGACTTGATTCTTTATTGCACTATACTAAAACATTAAAGAATAAAATCTCTTTTAGTTTTAGTATAGAGTCCATAAGGGGCCGATGCTTACGGACGCTAAAGTTAGATCATTTAAATTACACAGGACCCTTGCGTAATTTTACAGGTTGATTTCACCTCCAGAGTTTGCAAGTTTTCCCTGCGTCTGCGTAGGTTTCCTCGGGGTGCTCCGGTTTCCCCTGCCACTAAAACACGTACAATAGGATTGAGTGTAACGAGAGAGTGAATGGATGGTGATGGTCAGAGGTTTTGATGCAATAGTGTTCTGTTTTCATCGTGTGTGGAGAGAATAGAAAGTACAAGAAGAATTGTAAAGTGCTTTGTGTGTTCATCATCTGTGAACTGAGCGCGAAGTGCCGCTCTCCTTTACTTCCACAGCCCTTTGAATTTACATTTTAACTGTTGAATATTTTTTTTTAGTATTGAGTAGTTTTAGATGATTTTGATGCATATCTAAATATAGAATATCTTGACCGTTCTACTGCGGAGGGTTTTATGAATCTTACCTTGTACTATTTTAACACTCCTCTGGTTCCTGGTGTTTTTATGAAATGAGGAACTATGTTGAAACAGATTGTGAAAGACATTTTTGTGTAATATGTCCCAAAGTGGCCACATATTGTGCAGAATCAACTTTGAAAATGATTTAACCCTCAAATTAAATTTTCATGACAGGAAAAATCTGATATTTAGGGTAAATTATCATATGGGGTAGTGATATGCAATCGTAACTTTTTTTTGAGAGGGGGACCTTCACAGGCAGTGCATTCTGGGATGTTGCAAATCTGCAACAATGACCCGCTGTGGTAGATGGAGCCGACAAGGACAAAAACACAGATATAATCTACTAATTGGCATGTACTGTATGTATATATATTCATCTTTTATTTATTTGTAGTTTTGGTTTCAAATTATTGGAGGTTGGTAGTGATGCTAAATTTAAATTGGTGCCTAGAATTTTTTTTTCCGTCAAACAAAGGAGACTGACATTTTGGAAGAGAGACAGCTGCGGCCCCTGGTGAGCAGGTCAAAAACTG